CAAGGCAAGGCAAGGCAAGGCAAGGCAAGGCAAGGAAAGGAAAGGAAAGGAAAGGAAAGGAAAGGAAAGGAAAGGAAAGGAAAGGAAAGGAGCTTGGGGAAGGGGGGAGGGAGGAAGCAAGGAAGCAAGGAAGGAAGGAGCTTGGGGAAGGGAAGAGAAGGGAAGGAAAGTCTCTTCCTAAATTCAGAGGAGTAGATTCACTGTGGTTGAGTCAGATTAACCTACCATCATTTCTATAGAATAGCTCCATTGATAAGCCAATGAGATAGATAAAACAGTTCCTGAAACATTGCAGGTACCTGGTCACAAGGAGCAACTTAGCAACACTGAGAATGATGCAACTAAGGATTGCTCTGCAGATCACTCAGAACTGCCCAGGAGTGGGCAACCAACGGTGGTCTGATTACATGAGTCACTCGGATTTGAGGGCAGGTCTGTTCACCACCCAAATTTGCATTTTACATAAACAGGGAAGCATCTCTGCACTTTCTGAGCCACCATCACAGTTCCAGAGCTCCGGAAAAATCAGAGGGTCCCTCAACTGTGTGACGAGTTTTCAGATGGAAAAGAGCAAGCTTCTGCCCTACCTCTAGGTGACAGAAATCTGTTCATAATGATCCCCAGTTGCCTCCAATTTTGGAGCACAATTTTTAAAATAAATCCTTAAAAAAAAAAAATCTTAATCGATGGTGGCATCTCATGTCAAGGAGGAAATTGCAGAGAAGGAAGAGGAAGCAAGGGAGAGGCGTGATCTCCTGGGAAAGGCGACGGCATTTGAACTTTCTAGGCTGGAAAATAACTGAGAGAAGAAAAGAACCAATACATGAGGAACGTGTTATAAGAAAATAATTTAAGCAAGTATGGTCCCTATACGCACAACATATTACACAGAACAGCAGATAAAAATCCTTGCAGTTTGGTTTCTAAGGGGGCCCAAATGTTTAGATTAATAGAGGCACAAAAAGGGGGGAACTTAAAAACCAAATAGTCTTTTTTCTTTAAAACTTTTTTTCCTTCTTGTTATTTTTTATCTATTTTTTTATTTCTTCTTTCACATCCACAAACAACAGTGGAGACCTTAGTATTAAGTATGCAGCTTAAGACAAAAGCCTTCATTGTACAACCAATACCTGGATGTAATTTGCAGCTGTTTATCAAAGCTATATTTGGCTTTGGATGTAGAATTTAAACCACCGTGTGCTTATTAATATTGACATTTCAAATCATAATTAACCCTGATATAAACCTCCTCTTTTTCTCTATCTTTAAAGGTTTAAGTTATCTAAACATCAGAGGGTTAATCATTTCTAGTGAAAACAGTGGAATACAGTATAAATACCATTGTATCTAAATAATATAATGTTATTACTAATATAAGGTTATTATAAAACAACTAAGAAAAAGAAAATAATAAATATTACATAACTTAGAGCAGTGTTTCTCAACCTCAGCAACTTTAAGATGTGTGGACTTCATGCTGGCTGGGGAATTCTGGGAGTTGAAGTCCACACGCAAATTACATCCAGGTATTGGTTGTACAATGAAGGCTTTTGTCTTAAGCTGCATACTTAATACTAAGGTCTCCACTGTTGTTTGTGGATGTGTGTGTGGACTTCAACTCCCAGAATTCCCCAGCCAGCATGAAGTCCACACATCTTAAAGTTGCTGAGGTTGAGAAACACTGACTTAGAGGATTATAAAATTATGGATTTTAGGGAAAAGGATAAGGAAGAATTTTCTCCCATTCTCATAATACTAAACCACTGTGGAGTTTAGTGAAGTTGGATGGGGGGAAGGAGAAATAAATAAAAAGAAATAAAGCTTCACCATGGAAGAGACTCTGGAAATTCCTACCAAGGAATAATGGTAGCCCCAAACCTGGATAGCTTTAAAGGGGATTAGTCACATTTGTGGAGGATAGCTATCAAGATTTTCTCTAGAATAACAACAGATCTCCCGCTAACAGTTGCTGGGAACATAAACTTCTCTAATGTACTATGATGACAATACTTTCCCGCTATCCTGCTGTTCCATCATTGAACAGGATGTTCTGTCTTTGTCTACGACCAGCCGACCAATCAATGATTCTTCATATTGCCCTGCAAGTTGACTGATTAATGATTGTCAGACTTCTGACCAGGCACAGCAATAAATCTCGCCTCTTCAGACACTCAACCCCACATGCAGAAACAGCAGCAGGAGC